GCGTTACCGTAATGATGTTCTGTGGCAGTCGCGCCATGATAGTGTGTAGTAAAGGGCTTAGTCTACGTTCACGTGATGCCCGTTAGGCATTTGGACTTCGAACTTGAAAACCATCACTGGCCTGTGTGTGTATGTGTGATTTTCTTTTCTTACAAAAAGGTTGGAAAAGTAATGCTTTCTGGTTTCATCCGGGTTCGCATAAAATAGGAAGGTGTCTGCATTTCTGTGAAGGTAGACTGGTAGGCCGTTTCATCTTTTCGTCCAATTTAAGGGGGAACTGACGGCCAGACAGACGGACTGGAAATTTCCCAGCAAAGACTATGTATCACGCACCTTTCGTTTTTTTCATTTTTATGTGCTCCTTCCTTGGGAATAACTTAGGAGCAGGATGATGAGGGTAAGGTCAAACGGCACAATATAGCTTAAGTGTAACTGCATTCCATTTAAAGTATCACGGCTCCCTCAAAGTAGGTGTTCAGACCGTTTTCATTCCATACGGTAGTTTGTTTCTTTATATAGGATAAAAAAGCACAAGGTAAGACTACTTCCTTCAAATTTGCAGCTATCATGCAGCAGAAGAACATCGGGGAAACACGTGAATGTGCGGTGGAATGCCTTTCGGTTATAGTCACGGTAAAAAAGAACAGGAAAAACCTCGATTAACTTTTCTTGGGCAGAAATTGTGGCCGTTCTACCTTCCTGTGCCTTCTGTTGTAGTTCCTGTATCAACTGCTCCTGGGCGACACATTTCTCTTCAAGGCACTCACTTGACCTGAAGACATAAGATCCGGTCTTAAGAAGACATACTTTTTACTTTCAGCGGCTGTATCCAAATTCTCTTCTAGTCGTCGTTCAAGCCGCTGCTTTACCATAAGCTCATGACGCTCAATTTGAAGTTCTAATGCTTCAATTTGTTTGCGCTAATATGTTATTTTAGATGTTAGCTGACACGGTTAGAAAATACTATCGGGTACTTCATTTTCCTCTTTTTTTGATAATCCTGTGGAGCTCTTCGTCACGTTCAATTAAAGTCCTTTTGCAAGTGTCAAATTGTTTCCTGTGTGTTTGTAAGCCGTTCCTGCAAGACTTCCATTGTCGCACGCGAATAGCTGGTTCTAAAAAGGATTTCGACTAGATTATGCATGGGCTAAAGGGCAGCGATAATTTATATTGATAAACAGTGCGAAATGACGCGGACACGGGCGAGACAACGGCTGTGCGGCACCGAAAAAGTAGTCTTAACAAAACAAAAAGGTAATAAAATATTGCTTATCTTACATTTCTGACTGGAAGTTTGCGATTGCAAAGGTTCCCATCAGAGAATTCAGAGGGGTGGTTGACAAGCATACGTAAGCCTTTACGGATATCCGTAAATGAAGATCATTGATCTCTATAACAGTCGCGCTTAAATTTCGCTCATTCTTGAATTAATTCGGGACTGGATGGAAATCTAGCACAACTGCAGTATTAACCAAAAAGCATGCGGGGACGCTGGAGGACCCACTGATGAGCCGAATTCCCTTCAGCTGTGTCATGTAGCGGAAGAACATCGGCAAAACACGTTGATAGACTTTTAGCTAGTACCAGCCCTTCAATATTTTATATATGCTTGTTGGTATTTTATGAATGTATCGCAGTAATCCCACTGTGGTTGACTGACTTCGGTTCAAATAAGCAAACAAACTCTAGGACTGAGAATAGAAGGCTTAATTCTGACAGTTTTGTTCTAAGTCCGTGGAGGATAAAATGCAACAATTTAAAAACTGGATGATCCGCTGGTGAACCGAATCTCTTACAGTTGTGTCTTGAAGTTGTTGGCGAATATCAACGAAAATATCTGTCTAGTCCTTTAGCAGATACCTCTTCTGTCAGCATAGTTTATCATCCGACATACACACTTCCAAATTTATCTACACACCGTTTGTGCAAATAAAAGGTTGCTCTGTCTTTTTGGGTTTGCGCGCTTTTCAGTGCAAAGATGCCGAAATTTGCTTATGATTGCTGCTCACTCACAGACTGGTATTCACTTATGTACTGAAACTTTGAAATAATAATGAACAACCTTGGACGAATTTGCAACTTAAAGGAATTAAAAGAAGCCCTAATTGTTTGTTTAGAAAACCCCGTTTTCCGAGAATTGTTAAGTTTTGCAAACGAGAAAAACGATTATAGATTCGGCCAGTAAATTTAAATACAATCGTCAGTTAAAATTAACCACACCATTTTTTTAAATATTAAAACACCTTCTCTTTCGTCATATTTATATGCATCTTAGGAGTATTGGATTAAAATTAAATTCAAAGTTCATGGCGAAATTAGAATTTATATTTTAGCATATATGTGGTCACTTTATTTTGATCGACTAAATGGATTTCATCCTGGGAAAGCATTTTAGTTAGGACAATCACCCTTTTAGTAAGTTTATTAAGGGTAACGGACATTAATTTAGGACGTAACCAAACACAGGTTAGATATCATCATGCATTTTTAGGTAAAACCGGGTCCTATAAAATCC